CGTCCGGGTCATTGGGGATCTGACGAGGCCATATCTGCCGTGCCGAAAACCGCTGCTGACCATGGGGGGAGATCTCCTCCTTGCTGCAGAAGCAGATGCAGGCATGTCTTACCTGCTGCTCCAACGAAGTCCGGCGAGGAGGTATAGATGGTCTCCTCGGCATAGCAACTGGCATTGTGTCCACTGGAACGTCCATCGTCGATGCCTCTGAGTTTGTTGGATTGCTGCAACATGAACCTGCGCATGGGGAGCCAGCCACCGACACCATAACGACGATCCAGATCTTGCCTGGCAAAGGGGCCCTCGGCCACATGGGCTTATTTCCTCCAGGGTGAATTCTTTAGCCTCGGCAGCCCATGGGAACTTCGGGAGAGTATCCTCCACCTTTTGTGTGACAGCCAAGGCATTTGCTCCAAGCATGGAGGGCAAGCCCAGCCGCTCAGGTGGGTCAAGGTCCAACTTCCTGAAGATTCCTGGGGCCTCAATGTGACCTAGGAGCTTAAAACCCGTCACAAACCTAAGCCCCACTGAAGTGTCCGGCCATCGAAGAAGGTGTGCCAGTGCAGTGAGCGATGCTGGGCATCTCTCGATGGCAACCAGGGCCACATCGGGCGGCATGAGGTTACGAAGGGCTGCATCCCAGGGCTTAAGGAACTTGATCACGGTCTTAAGGGCTCTGGACTGTTGCTGTCTCCAAGTTCGAACACACGGGCCGAGTATGCACAGGGCTCGGCAAGCAAAGACAGCATCATCATCCAGGGAGGCTTCGGCCCCATAAGGGCTCGGGAGGCACGCTGAGAACCAAGGTGAGAGTCCTTGCCTATGTCATAGGGCAGGAGTGGGGCCGGGGCATGACGAGAATTGGGCCCCCCTGCTTGTCTGCCCAGCGCTCGTTGGGACTCTCCTGACTGGAGCTGCTGTTTCCACTCGGGGCCTTGGTCATCTGGTCGGAGGCCTCGCATTTGGCTGTCCACCCAGTATACCTGAAGACGAGCCAGGGCTGAATCCACAGCAGGTGACTATGCAAGCTCAGGCAGAGTGGAGGTTACTTCCCTAAAGGCGCTATGCATGAGTGGGGAGAGTTCGCCCCATCGTAAGACACCTGGGAAAGTATCAACGACCCCAGGCTGGAAGACTGAATCCACTGCAGCATGTCGGATTCTTCTCTCCAGGCCCACATAAGTGGCCGGGGGAATGGCTGTGCTCGATGGCACCGACCCCAGGGTCCAGGCGATCGCCATCATACATGCACCGACATGCATCATGCCTCTGACGACACTGCCTCTGAGAGGGGCTGAGGACTGTAATGTCTGGGCCCAGCAGGTAGTGCTGGCAGGTATTCCCAGCAATGTCTGCCACCTCTCGGTCAGTAGGCAGTCTCGATTCTCTGCCATTCGACAAGGTAGCTGGGGATCTGCCATGGCACTCTTGCTCCACCCTGAAGAGGTCCTGGGTAGCACTGGGGGTCAGAGGCCTTGGCGATGGTCCCAGGGTCATTCGCTGGGGCCCTGGTTTCTTGTCCTGCCACCATAAAAGCAGGGGTTGCACCTGGCTGTCAGAGCAAAGCTGGCGCGGCAAAGTGACGGGTCGTGGCATGAGGCTGACATTGCAACTGAGGCACCTAAAAAGGACAAGACCCTGAACCCAGCCAAAGGAACCTACCGACACAACAGCAGAAGGCTGAGGATCAGCGAGAGGGCCGCCCTCTGTGCACACCTCAATCCCCAGGATAGGCAGCTGGCGACCTGTAACATCCATGGCTTCCTGGACGCATGAGAAGATGTCACTGAAGGTGAGGCAGCCTAGCCCTGTCTGGCGAGGGGCAATGACAAGCACCGACGAAAACAGACCAAGCTCGAGACCTGGTAGCACAGCAGCACTAGAGAACTCTGTAGGAGGGCCCATGAAGCTGACGTCACGAAACGTCCTGCTGTGGAGGTGGTCGAAGCATGTCGCAGGGAGTTGCAGCCCAGCAGGGGGATGGGAGCCAGACGAGGCTTGCACTACCCTGGAGCCTGTGGCCATTGCAGTGACCGTCCTGGCCGTTCCTTGGACTCGCTGGGTCACCATCCTAATTGGTGCTTGGCCTCCAACAAGGGGCAGTCTGAAACCTAGGTCGGTCAGTTGCCTCTGTATCGAAGCTGAGGCCTGCGAGATGTCAGCACTCGTGTAGAAGGTGACCGACCATCGCTCCCCAGTCCACTTCTCTGCAGCGTGAAGCAGATGTGGATGAAAGATGAGGAACCTGGCCTGGTTCTGGAAAAGCTTGGCTGACACTGAGTGGCCTTGCTCGGCATCCTGGAGGCTGCAGTCACCTTTGTCGGCCTCCACCAGCAGGCCTCCACCTGACTCCTGACCCAGCGAGAAGGTCAAGTTGAGGCTGGAGGGGGCGTTCAGCATGTCCCTATGGGGTGACAAAGTACCATGGCATGACAATGCAATCGAGGACCAGGTGAACCATGGAAAGCACTTGTACACTTGGGCATTAAGCAGTTGCACCAGCTCGGCACGAGGAAAAGTAGCCCTCGTTACTCCTCGGGCATGTCTTGCAGGATTCGAGAAGAAACCCAAGACCCAGTACGAGGCCGTAGGGGCATCACCCAGCACCTGAGGCCTACGGTTGGGGACCTGTGCCGAGAAATTGCTTTGCAAACGATGTAAACATTGCACATGATCTAGCACCACTGGGCCTAGGGTGGGTCGGGGCAGCGAGTTGGCAGTTACTCCTTTGCGACCGAAAGAGCGAGCACGGTTGCCACTGTTTGCAGATGCAACTGCTCGGTCGGGCTTGCTCTGGGCCACAGTGACCTGACGATCTGAAGAATCAAACGTGGTGGCAGCTGGCTCGGTCGCAGAGTTGTCCAAGTCTGGAGAAAGCAACGGCCTGGCAAACAGGGTCTCACTCAGATCATCATCGGCCTGCCGACCCGAGCGACCGACCCCCTACTTGGCCCGCTTGGTGAAGAAGGGGCAGGTCATCCTGGTATGCTTAGTGCTGGCACATACCGAGCCGTCTGGTTTGACGACATCGCAAGCGTCGAGTTTCCCGCACGACCCGTCGCAGCCCCTATTATCGTTCCAGCGCTTACAGAGCTGCATGCCTTTGTGCACGCTGGCCGTTCTGACTCGCTTCTCCGGACTGGTGGGAGGGTCGTCTTCAAGTGACCTCTTAGGCTGAGTCGGGGTCGTGACCCATTTGAGCTCGTTTTCTGCCCAGGCACGATTGAGAGCTTCGCCCTGTGGATAGCCGGACCTGACCAATTCTATCACTCGTGCTCTGGTCATTTCGTCTCGGGTCCTGACAAACTCGAGGAGCTGTGATGGTGATAGCTCGCAGGCACTCGCCACCCGCAGGAATATATCTGCATATCGGAGATTGTCAGAGAGGGGAGCAAAGACCACCTCCGTGGAGGGATGCTCCTTCGAGGCAGTCTTGTGTTGTCCTGCAATGGCATAGCCGTTGGCGAGGATTCGGAGACCTTGGTAGTAGGCCAGCATAGACCGAACCGGAACAAGGTCATCCTTGTTCAGTTGCAGCTGCACTCGCTCGGACAACACTATGGTCTTGTCAGACGCAGGCTTGGCAGCGACAAACAGGGATTTCACCCGGGAGATGCTGATGATGCTGATGACTGTAGGAGTAAGACGCTGGCACT